GTGTGATGGTGGATCAGAGCCCGACATGGGCATTTGGGGTAGAGCTGCAAAAGGGATTTTAGTTGGTTGCGAAGTAAAATCTGGAGCTATGGTGAGGTGCCCTTCCACAGCAGTGTCCCGCTCTGGGCTGTCCTGCCGTGTTATGGATCTGATCCTTCTAGAGAAATTAGAAAATCAAGTAAATTAGCTCTCCACAATTACTCTAGAAATGTAATAGCCTTACTGACAGAAAATAAATTTTATCCCCAGGTAAAAGATGTTTGGTTTGATATGGCTATACTAAATAATTTCTCAAATGAGAAGTCAAACAGTAGCTCAGTATGATGGGAAAAAACCATAAGTTTGCTTCAAATTGCACTTTTGTCATGCTTATACTTCAGGTGAGACAGATATATGAAATAATAATTACTTAGCATAAAGGTAACATTATGTTTTTATTTCAATATACACATTTAATTCCATAGTCTGAATGATACTCTTAAACCTAGGCTAACCTCTGTTAAAACTGTATTTCTGAACGTTAACTGAAGTGGCAACGTATTTCAGTGAACTTAGCCTGTGCGTGCTCGAATGGGTGTGCTTCCTTTTTAATGACGGCTCTGCTAGCACTGGCACAGGTCAGTTTGACTTTTTGCCCGGTACTTACGTAAGAAGTCAGTATAAAAAACCGGGTTTATGAAATTCGATCTGTACATCTTGTATTTGCTGCCCAAAGGTATTACTTGATGCCCAGAGAGAAGGAACAGCACAAAACACTTCCTAGATTTTAAGAACTAAGTGTAGACCTGGGAAGAAGAAATTTGAAAAATTTTAGAGTATTGTTACTCTTAATTGTTTTTTGTTAAGTGTACAGCAAAGAAAGTAGCGTTTTATGAAAAATGGAATATTTGTCTCTGCAAAAGGATATCTTCTTTTATTTTAATATAGCAATAAAGTTGTAAATCACAGTAAGTCCAAGTGTTTACCCACTGATGGAAAGAATAAGTAGTAGCCAAACATCCAAACATGGTGAAAAGCTTTGGGTTTTTTCCTTTCTTTTTTTTTTTTTTTTTTTTTTTTTTTTTTTTTTTTTGCATTTTGTCAGAAATCAGTGCATGTTTAGTAGGAAATACAGAATGGAAAATAACATTTTAAATCCAAGAAAATTGGCAGCCAGACTAAGGACCAAGTGAAGCTGTTGAATTTTTTTTTTTTAAAAAAAAAAAAAAGGTTCTTGAAGAGATTTAAATTATCAATATCCATTTTACCAGGAAGACCTGTGTGCTTTGGCAGTATGTGTATATAATTCTTGCTCAACCATAAGTCCTGTAGCACACAAACTATCGCTATATTTTTCCAAATTGATAGTTAACCGATATCCCGGTCACCGAGCAGAAACAGGCTTTGCTGGGATGCCATCTCTCTTCGCAGCTTTCTAACGCTCTGTACGGCCCTTCTCCTTAGGGTCACAAATACGCTGTATAAATGCGAAGACATTTAGAGAGGAGTTTGTCCGTTAAGGTTTAGTGTTGAATGCAGCTTTCATTTTGGGTCAGATAATACCCAGTGCTGTGCGATCAAGGAAGACTTCCAGATTCTTTGTCCAAAGTCAAAACTTACATCTTTCTGGTATTTGAGACACAACAAAAAAAACCGACTGCCCCCCGCCCCCCCAATCCTCTTCCCAAATTTTAGCATTTGCAGCCATGTTATACTGGTGCAGTATTTGAAATATCACTTTGATATGTTGTAAAAGCAATCATGACATTAAAAAAATTGTTTTTCTTTCAAGAGTTATGTGAAGGGAAGGGATGCAAGTGCTAACTTTTAAAATTTGAAAACTGAACACCTGGAGATAATTATATTTTTAAATGTTTTCAGGCTGGGTCAGAGTTAATGGCAAATGGGAGCTGTATTAGATTGGCAGATGATTAGTAGAATTTATCATTATAATATGCTTAGCATAATAAGCATGGTGGTCTTGATTATTCAGTGACAGTTTGTGTAGTAATTTTTCCATTAAAAGACTATGTCAGTCTGTCAATAAATACATTCATTAGATCAAGTGTGCCATGCTCAAAACATCTGGTTCCAAAATAATATTAGCTTTCTCCAATAAGACAAGACACCAGCAGAATTCAGATAGTTTACAAAACAGACCTTAGGCAGATTTCAATTAAAAGCATGAATTTTATAAAAAGACAGTAAATATAAGCAAATGCTCGTAGCAGCCCTAGCTCTACTTGTATGTAAGTCAACACAAAACAGGTCCAGGCAGGTTACAAAAGATTCACTGAAAAGTCTTCTCATTTTGTTGGTAAACTACACAAGTCGTGGTTACATACAGGAGTGAGTGAAGGTTTCAGACTTACAATGTTATGTCTTTTGAGAAACTGTCCCAAAATTCTAGAAGCAGCTGATTTGGCTTTTTTGTGTATGTTCCAAATCATACTGCTGTCTGTAGAATGGAAATTCTCTCCAATGGGTGGAATGGAATCTTGGTGTGCGATCAGCCATTAGTCTTGGTTCTCTTAGATCAATTTTTTTATTATCAGCAGTTTAAAACACTTTATATTAGCTCACTTGCACTGAGATTGGTGCTATGAAACATTCATGCAAATCGTAGTCTCAGTTTAGTACGAGAATAGCACCAGTTAAAGTTGCCAGAAAAGAAGTGTTCGTATTGTTTGGATCAGTAGCTGAGATTAGTATTTTGTCTAGTTTATTCCTACTGATGGGATGCAAGCAAGTACTCAGTCTTATTCTAGGACCTTTCTCTTCTCCCCTGCCAGGCTTTCTCTTCTAGTCTGCCAGGTTTTCTCCAAGGAAGTAGCACCCTCTCTTCCTTCAGAGGAAAAAAAAACCCAAAAAAAACCCCACAACCAACCTCAAAACAAACTCCCAAAGACTGCATTAGTCATCCACTGGTTTATTAGAGATTATTTGTAACTGTGATAAGAACTTGGACTTTGGATTTTCTAAATATACAGAAGGTGGAAGAGTATGGAGCAATCTTTCTCATTATCTCGCAGAGCAATCTCACAGGGTGTAGCATCGCTGAACTAATGGCCCTCAAATAGTAACTTATCAGAGCTGCTCAGGGATTCTTGCCACTGCTATAAAAAGACATTTGGCAATAAGCAGTATGTCATATTAGAAGCACAGCCGTTTACTAGAACATAAATATGCTAACATAGTTTACTTGCAAATTCTTCAGTGGCATCTGATTCTAGAAAACTAAGATGATATTGAACATCACAGATAACTAGGTGTTCTGTATACTATAATTTTAAAGCAGTTGTTTCTTGAGATGGGTGATAAATTACTGCATTTGTGTTGGGCATTTCATCTGACCTCTTAGAGCTTTTTGGTAGATACTAATTAAGAAGCCACGACTCTTGCAGAAGGTTCATCAGGTAGTTTGCACCCATTTTGGACTTAAATAGAGAATTGCGCATCACTTGATTCAGTCTCAGAGATCGTTTCTTGACTGGCGTCTCCTAGTCTAAGCTCTATGTGGTGGGGGTTGGGAGGGTGTGTGTGTGTTCCCCACCTCTGTAAGAAATTAGCTTGCCAGGTATTAGACTCCTGTGTCTTCCTCTTGCACTGCTGGAGCGGCTTGAGTTTTTTCCCCTGGATATTGCTGTTGCACTCTGCTACAGTCCCTGCTTGCAGGAGCCATGCACTGGATGCTGTGCCTGACCACAGTGGTGCAGAGTTGGTGCTGTCTCGTTTGGTGGCTTCCAGCTAGGGATGGAGTCCTGGCTGGTCATCATCCGAGTGGCGTATGATCGCTGTGGGAGAATAGGTCATATAAGCAGAACACGGATGTGTTAATTTACATTTTCTAGAGCATTACAGGCTTGCATACAGGTTGCACTTGGGCTGGACTTTCACTCTTGGCTGTAGTTGTAACTTCATGAGTAGCCTGCTTCTTTCACAGTTTAAGTAAATTTAAGTCAAAATCTGTAAGCTGATTCTGGGATTGATTGGTTGTGTGTTTGGGCATCTTTAACAATACTTGGCCAGGAGAGAGGTGTTACTGCTGTTGAGGAGAAAGGTGCCTTCTGACTCCCAATTGCCAGAGGTGTCTCTTAAGCAGGTGTTGATTACACAGATCACTGAGGAACCACAAGTGTCCAAGTATCAGCCGAGCAAACGGTCAATTAACATGGCCATGTGTAGGCAGAGCTGGGTACTCCCTGCAGCTGTCAGGTATTTTGTGACTAAGAATTCATTGTTCCAAAGAACTACATTTATAATACACACTATTTTAAGTTGAAATGGTGCTAGCAATATATTAATGTTAATGGTTTCATGTTAATTAAATAATTTCTTTTCCAGAATGGAACCTGACCACTCTTATTTCAAATGTTCAGATTTTTTTTTTTTTTAAGAGTATCTGTTGCTCCTTCTGATGTTGTTCCTAAATAGAAATCCTATAGAATTAATAAGAGGAAAACAAGACAAAACAAAACCACAACCCCCCAAAACCCAATGTAGGTTGAGCTGCTTTTCTTCAGGGGTGTTCCACACTGAAGGTCTAGTAGACCATATCAAAAGGTTGTCATAAAGTGAAAGTTAAAATGTTGGCTCTGGTATAATTTTGACCATTAGGAGATATACTTACAAATAATTGTTATCTTTTGAGCAAATACGATATTTAAGCTTGCTTGGCCTTGGGATAGAGGTCTCTTTGCTTTGTGTGTCTGACGTCTGGGTCCAATTCTTACTTTCTTCTTTAAGATGGAGAGTGAATGGAGAGTCTTATTAAAAGCTAAGCTTTAGTGGCTGAGGAATGTAGCTCCCAAAGTTAAGAGAGACTCCCGTAATGAGCTGGTGACCAGGAAGGAGTGGAGCCTCATGGATTACAGTGAGACTTGAATCCTCTATGCTCTGTGTGTGGCAGGGGACCTCCCAAGCCAATAAAGGAAAAATGTTAATGGAGTAAATGACATTAAGTATTTAAGAATTGTTTCTGTATGGGAGCCTAACCCCCCTGTTTTTTTCCTCCTTTCCAGAAAGAAGACACAGCTCCTCCAGCAAGCCGCCTTTGACTCCTCCCTCCTCTTCAGTATTTTCCCTCATTTCATCTTTCCCTTCAAAAAACAAAGGTAGCGGTGGAAGTGGGAGCAATCGTTCATCCAGTGGAGGTACTAGTGCATCATCATCAAATTCCAAGTTGTTGAAATCACCCAAAGACAAGCTGCAGATGAGCGGAAACAACAGGTTAATGCATTCGGTACAGCATAGCAAAGTTCCCCATGATAAAATGTGAGTATGCACTTTGACAAAGAACTAAATGTTATTACTTGCATAGACACTGATATATCAGTAGAATTTCCTTTTGTTTCAGAGGGTTCTCGGTTTAAGAGATAATCGCTTTAAACTCCTCCAGATCTTTTCCAGCAGCCTAGTCTAAGATTATGGGTAATACTCATGACTGTGTTGAACAAGAACTTTTGCAAAGCTGCATCTTAAATCACTATAAATAAAGGTCATTTAGGGGCTCTTAATTCTTTGATCTAATCTGCATACTTTAATCATAAGGGAGTTTTAGCTCTGATTCGGGTGATTTTTGACCTGCACGTGTGAGATTGCAGAACTGATAATAAAATTTACTGTCACAGCACAAGGCATTTCTCACCGGACATAACGGGCCCATTCCAATCGCTCTGGTCATGCACTGTATCTGTGAATCCAAATAACAGTGTCTGAATTCCCTGGTGGCTCTCTGAAATACTTGCAAGGAAAAGAGGACAGAAGAGATTACGGCCATCATAAGAAATGTGAAAATAAAAAACATACGAATAAGAAAACTGGGAATAAAGGAGGAAGGTCTAAATTTGCATTGTGAATAGATCAGAGTATTGTTGACTAATAACATAATTTAAGTACTTTTTATAATTTGTAACTAGAATTTTCAATTTCCTCCCCTTTGTTTTTCATAAATAATAGTATGACTCCATCTGTCAAAGTGGAAAAGATTCATCCAAAGATAGATGGTGCCCAACTGAAAGCTGCTGTTGGTCCAACTTGTTCTACTACTGTGAGTTCCTCAATAAAGACTGGCCTTAATTGTCCCTCAATACCAAAGCCACCCTTGCCTTCCCCTGGACAGATACTGAATGGTAAAGGTCTTCTCTCTGTGCCTCCATTTTTGGAAAAGAAACCTGAAGAAAATACAAATAATAGGAAATTTTTACATAAAAGATTGTCAGGTAATTGTTTTTAATTATTATTTTCTATATTCCTCTTACTAGTGTATGTATAGAAATACATATGTAGAATATGCAGAAGTAAGTTTCAGAAGTAAATTAAACACTTTTATAACACTGTAACTTGTAGTTAGGTACATTTTATATATTAGAATTCAAATCTAACTTAACATACTCTTAAAGGACGCAAACAACTTGAAGTGTGGCTGTTGCTTTCAGAAAACATACAGACCTCAAAGGCCTGTCAGTTCTTACAGTTTTAAAATTGCACTCTTCTACTATCTTTAAAGATTTTCTTTTCCTTCTTTCTATATGGAAGGCCCAAATGTGTATAAAAATGGAACAACTAGCACCTCATAAAGTCAAAAATGTAAACCCAGTCTGCTCTCTACACTTTTTAAACACAATAACTTTGAGTGTTGCTAGAATGGCAGAAAAGTTCTTAACACAGAGACCAACAACAAAAGCCACCATTTGTTGATGTTGATGGTGACCTCTAATCCTAAGGTGCAGGATCTACTCCTCCTTTGGGGTCCCTTAGAGCTGTAAATTTCTCCGTTCTGTTTGTAAACTTGAGATCTGTATTTCAGCACACCATAAACTTGCTGAGTGTGTAGAGAATTTTATTTGTACAGTTTTATTGTGCATTTTTATTTATACATTTGCCTGTGTTACCTTTGAAAACAATTTCCAATATAATGTTTTATAATGAAAATAAATGTGGTATTTCAAAATGTCTTTTGATAACATTTCAATACCGTGTACTTTTGACAGAGAGAGAATTTGATCCTGATATATACTGTGGTGTCATTGATGTGGAAACCAGGAAACCTTGTACTAGGTCTTTGACATGCAAGGTAGGATATCTCAATCAGAATAAGATTATGTAAAGTTTTAATTGAGTTTCCTGAGGAATATGACAGAAAACTACAGATTTTCGCTGCCAGTGATTACCACTGTAAATGGTACCTCTCAAAACACGCTGTCCAGAACCAAGAAGGAATTGGTTTTGAAGTTCAGTTAATCATTTATTCAGAAATGTATTTCTTAAAGTAACCTGGAGATTTGTATTTTTGCATAAACCCTTCAAACATGGATGCTGACCTGGGACAGCTCGTGTTACTCCCCATGTAGGTAGTAGGGGGCCAGCATGTTCTTCTTTTTGGGAATAACCTTTGGGTCATAGATCATGAATTGTAAAATTCCTCAGTAAGCATTAAAAATATGATTTGTTTATGCAGGATTTAAATAAATCAAGCTCCTCCCCTCTCACACCCCCCTATTCCCCCCAGCACAGTCTACAGCAGACACTTAGGAGGTATTTGTGTGAGTGCTAAAGCTGCTTGATGTACGACTACAGCCAACTCAGAAATGAGTCTTGAAAAAGCCACGGAGTGTGCCTAGAGGTCAAACTCTGAATGAAACAATCCATAAAAACTTTGTCGGATGAAATGCGTCCTCTGGCTCAAAAATCTTGGGGGACAGAGGGGTATCACTTGGTCCTCAGGAACCAAAAATCAAGATCCCCTGCAATTGGGTAATATTTAGCTATTTTTCTGCAAAGCAGCTAAACTGTCAGTAGGGGAAGCATCCGGTAAATAAACCACCTACAGAACAAAGGTAAATGAAGCTAGTACTAATGACCCAGAGGAACTGAACTTGAACACATTGCCCTTTTGGAATTACAGGGGGGAGGCAATTGTTTTGCTAATAGCGGGAAAAGCTTCAAGATTTTACAAGAGAACTAGGCAAATCAAAAGCGTAAAAGAGCAAGAAAGTGAAAACATGTCTCAGCAATTCCTTATACCTACTCATAAAATATTTTTGGAGTTGCTATTTGTGTCTGAATTACGTGATAATAATTTTTACCTACTAAAATGAACCCAATCAAACCTCTCATGCCATATGAAAAAAGGTATTGTATGTGACTTTAACAATTTCGAAAAATAACTTCCATCTCTTTCACTTTACTTAGCATTTGTGCCATATATACACATATACATCCTACTGTGTGCAGCATTCAGGACACTCAAAGGACTTCGAGTTCTATCTGTGGATTCTGCTATATTTTTTTGCATTCCTCAATATCTCTTTGATTACATCAGTTTTCAAGGAATATATTAGTATATAGAGGGAAGCAAAGTATTTTTATAAATATTTTTCATGTCTCCCGTGGAAAGTCTGATTTTAAACATTGTGTTAAATATTGTCATAAGTGAAAGTAAATATTTGTTATTTTTGATTGTGCACTAGTTGGCTATTAAAATATCAATGTAAAAAATACTTTCAATTTTAGTCTTAACCTTATAAGAACTTTGGCAGTTTCTGTTTGAAAAAGAAATTTGAAGGAAGCCTTTTACTCAGTTGCTGGTTTTTCTTATTTTGTATCGAACAGGGATATAATTATGAACCAAGCAATTTTAAAGTTTGTTTTCAAAGTCATTCTTCCATTTGTTTACTAAACCATGAGTGTGGTTATTTTCTCTGTTTTAGAGCTCTGGACACATGTTTTGAGTGTTTGATTTCCACAAATCTAATAGCCTGGGATTAATGATTTATTCATGGCTTTGCAGACACATTCCTTAACCCAGCGGAGGGCTGTACAGGGTCGAAGAAAGCGATTTGATGTGTTATTAGCTGAGCACAAAAGCAAAACCAGGGAAAAGGAACTTCTTCGACATTCGGATCATCATCAGCAGATGCCCCCTCTCAGGGAACCACATCCCTCACCTACTAAAACTTCCCAGGAGCTGCACCAAAATTCTTACGGAGTTACTCTTACAGAATCAAAGCCTTTATTACCTAATAAACCCAAACCTCACCCCCCCAGTCTTCCAAGGTAAGGAAAATCTGCAGATCCAATGCTATGAAATTACTACTGGTAGCTTCGTCAGGAGGATTTTGAAAGAGCGATATGGATCTGTTGGACGGGGCAGTATTCTGGCTCGAGGCCTGGTGACTGCCTGCAATTAGGAATTACATGCTGAGCTGTAACTCCTAGCGAGGAGGGTTTGGTGTGTGAAATAGTAAAAGCTGACCCGTGTCAATGAAAGTGGGTCAGCAACGATGGGGCAATGCTGCTTTTCCAGGGGGACGGTACCTCCTGTCCTTCCTCCATGTTGTGAGACTTTGGAAAACATCAGAAACCTGTTAATGTGGATTTCCTTCTGTCAGTAACAGTAAGCACTTAAGCGTGGAATTTTTAACCAGGCTTAGTTCAATAACACCTTTACTGTTTGTCTTGCCCAGGCCTCCAGGCTGTCCAGCCCAGCACAGTGGAAATGCCCCTAGTGAGTCTCCTTCTGTCCACGAGTCCCCGCACCCTCCCTTGCCTGCAGCTGAGCCAGCATCTCGGTTATCCAGTGATGAGGGAGAATGTGATGAAAAAGAAGAGCCTGTTGAAAAACTGGATTGTCACTATTCAGGTCATCATCCTCAACCAGCCGCTGTACGTTTTAAGTAAAAGTTAACCTTGGTTTCTTGTTGGCTCTGAACTTATAAACAAGTTACTTGGGGGTTTTAAGGGTGGTTTTCTGTTGGGCATGTGGTTCTTCCGTCCCTCCCAGATTTTAAGAAAATTATTTTGTTGCTTAGTAGACAGTGAAGGTTTAACTGTAGTTGCAAAGCAAACGTGCTGAAGAAATATGTTTGGAGCTAACTTCCCCAGTCCAAAAGAAATCAAAATGCCAAAATACTGAAGATGAAATTGGTAACTGCTCTAAAGGGCTGTGGTTTTGGAATAAGGACGTGTAAACAGGGCCTTTTTGGTGAGATTTTGTTACTGGACTTTTCCACGCACATACATTGATTAAGGGGCTAGAGCATCTCCCCTGTGAGGAAAGGCTGAGAGAGTTGGGCTTGTTTAGCCTGAAGAAGAGAAGACTGAGAGGGGATTTCATTAACACGTACAAATATCTTAAGGGTGGATGTCATGAGGATGGAGCCAGACTCTTCTCAGTGGTGCCCAGCGACAGAACAAGGGGCAATGGGCACAAACCGAAACATAAGAGGTTTCTGTTGAGCATGCAGAAGAACTTTTTTACTTTGAGGGTGCCAGAGCACTGGCACAGGCTGCCCAGGGGGGCTGTGGAGTCTCCTTCTCTGGAGATATTCAAAGCCCGCCTGGACGATGTCCTGTGCAACCTGCTCTGGGTGAACCTGCTTTAGCAGGAGGGTCGGACTGGATGATCTCCCGATGTCCCTTCGAACACTTGCCATTCTGTGATTCTGCAGTATGCACATTTTTTTTATTCAAGGTGCCAGTCATCACAGTAAAGGTAGCAGTAAGTGTTGTTTTAATATTTAAATCTTGACAAAAAAAAACCCCAAAACTAAAAGCACAAGCGTTATTGCCTAGCCTGTATATCAAATTACCTCCTTTTTTTATTTTTTACAGGACTATAAGCAGATAGCTGATAGCTCCTCAGAAGTAGATGTTAAATATATATATGTTATGTTTTTATATGCACACACAAACACACACTACTGTCCCTCCCTGTTTAATCAGAGGGATTCAAATTTGACCATTGCTTTTGGTCATAAGTATGGGAGTATTGGATGGGAAGAAAATGATCCCAATATACCAAGGCCGAAAATTTGAAATAGTTGTTATACCATAGAAATAAACTGTCTAATTTATATTTTCTTATCCTTGATTTAAACATCTGAAAGCATATTCATTTAGCAATATTTATTTACAAACAAGTGCATTGTTATTCAGAGAGTTGTTACTGAAAGTAGAAAACACCAATAAAAATCTGTCTTTTCAGTTTTGCACATTTGGTAGTCGGCAAATTGGAAGAGGTTATTACGTGTTTGACAAGCGGTGGAACCATATTCGATGTGCACTTGACTTCATGCTGGAGAAGCATCTTAATTCACAGATGTGGAAGTGAGTAGAAGTGAAAGGGTTCTTACTCTTCTTGGTATTTGTAGAAATAGATGAAGCCTGTGATTCTAGTTAGTGAACAGTAATGGTGTGTTCAGATTAATTGGATCAAAGGTTGATAGTCCATGCTTTACATTTTTTGTGATAACTATTAATTTAATAAAATATTTAGTGGCATTAATCAGCTTCAAGATACAATCACTGTAACGTAGCATTATTAGACTGGGTATTATTCCAAAGAATGGTAGCTACGCAGGTTTTTTTTTTTGTTTTTCTGTTCACCTGCAGGAAAATTCCTCCAGCGTCCAGCAACACAGCATCCGTTCGTGCACCACATCGGACAAATTCGATGCCTGCTTCACAGTACGGTGTCAGTGCAGCAGGTTTCCTCTTACCCACCACGGTTATGTCATCGCCAGCATTGGTATCTCCTTCCTGTGTGTCTCTGAATAATAAATCGGTACCATCACATGGAACGACACTAAATGCCAATCCTGCTACTTTGGGTGCAGTGGATCCTGTCTGCAGTATGCAATCAAGACAAGTGTCTTCATCCCCTTCAACACCTACAGTGCTTTCCTCTGTACCTTCACCTATGCCCAGCAAACCTCAGAAAATGAAATCCAGCAAATCTTTTAAACCCAAGGAATCTTCTGCTGGCAGTGGCACCTGTAACAGTACCGGCAGCGTCAGTAGCAGCGGCGGCTCAGGAAAGAAGCGTAAAAACAGTTCCGCACTGCTAGCACCTTCTCATTCCACAGAGTCCTTTAGAAAAAACTGTGTGGTTAACTCTGGAAACTCTGGGACCTCCTATCATCCATCGGTGACAGCTTCGTCCCACAGCGTTGGCCTCAACTGTATGACTAGCAAAGCTAACTCCGTTAGCCTCAAACATGACCAATCAGGGAGGGGTCCTCCGACTGGAAGCCCTGCAGAATCGATAAAGAGAATGAGTGTGATGATGAACAGCAGCGACTCCACGCTCTCTTTAGGGCCGTTTGTTCATCAGTCCAGCGAGCTGACTGTAAATTCACACAGCAGTTTTTCACATTCGCATACTTCCCTTGACAAATTAATAGGAAAGAAAAGAAAGTGCTCACCTGGTTCAAGCAGCATAAACAGCAGCAGCAGCAGCAGCAAATCAAACAAAGTTGCCAAATTGACATCGGTGAACAATGTTCATGCAAAACACACTGGTGCAATCCCAGGGACGCAAGGGCTGATGAACAATTCTCTCTTTCATCAGGTATGAAATTTTGTCTCAAACTAAGCCAATATGAACACGCCTCTTTACATGCCTGTATTAGATAGGTTCTCTTAGTTATCAACTAGCCAATTCCAGATCCTATTCAAGTAAAAGGTAGTTCTCTTATTTGTCCACTACTCATTTCGAGTGTTTTTACAATACATTTACACAAGATTTTTATAAACAATCTCATCAAGTGTAGCTTTCTTTTTTTTAAAGTAACCTTAAGTACGACGTTCCAAGTTCTTCAGATGTTGCCTGTGAATTACTCGGCTGAAATTCAGTCCTCGCATCTTAAAGAATTTTAAAAGTAAATGTTGCCAGCCAGGCATGGAACTGAGCTGCATGTCTCAGCTTTATTTCTTGTTTCTGTGTCAGTAATGAACATTCTACAAAGGGGAACGTAATGATGCTGATAACAGAACTATGATAAAATAAGCCTATTAGCCCAAGGTGTCATTGGCTAACTTCTTAGTAATAACAAGATTAAATGTTATAAATAAGATAGAAACCTTTTTAGTCAGTAAAGCAAACAGATTTACTATAAAGGAAGCAGATCTCATGAATACATAAGATCCCATTTTAAAAATTAATTTGGGGGTTTGGTTTTTTGAGCAAATCACGTTGTAAAAGTAGTATATGGGGAGAGAAAGTTCTTGAGAAATTAGGATGGAGAGATAATTTAGAAAACGGCAACTCACACTTCTTACTAAAAGCAGTTGGCTTGGAGGGTCACTTTTGAAGGGGTAAAAATAATTTTATACAGCTCGAAGAGAGTATGGAAGATGGAATTTTAGAGAGTAACTTTAGAACTAGATTTTTTGAGATTGAAAACCCAAGAAAATTTTTGTTTCCTCTGGTGCTAATAACCTCAAGTCTGTGTACCTGGATTGCTAGCTCAGTAAGAGCTTTTTCAGAATGGTTTCTGAATTTTCAGTTTCAGCCATAGGGGAAGCTTTTCACCATTATGTTGCACTTACTGCAATTAGAAAAGCGTTCAGATGGCTGAATTTATTTTTGGACTTATCCGATACTTACTGTTTCAACTGTGTCATATAAAAAAAAGGAAAAATATTATTTGAGGGTGTTAAGAAAGGAAATAATTTCTGAAACTGTTATAACTTTAAAGAGTTCCAACTTGAGTACTGTCAAAGTCTTAGAGAACCCAACCGCATGTTAGTGGTGTCGCGTTGTGCCTGCTGATTCTCCCCAAAATATGCTCTTGTTATCCAGAAAATGTCTTTTGAGGGCATCTGCTGTAACAGCCTGGCTCACTCATCCTTCTCTTTCTTTTGCTTGCTCAAAAGCCAAAGGCACGTCCCTAATAACTGAATGCACCATGGTGAGAAACGAACTGGACAATTTTCACTACAAGCAAAACCTCCATCTGGAATTCTGGACTCCAAGATGCCTTGAGTTTTCCCAACTTCCCATGGTCCTCAGGTGTGGAAATCTACTGGACTGTCACTTAAACAAGGAATTTCCCTGAAGCCATGTCTGTAGCAGCGAATATACTAGAAATGGACACTGGATGAAGTTCAGCCACGTAATTGCTCTTATCAGTGTTAACGGTGGTCTGGACTGTTTGCTACAAATCTGTGAGATTTTTACTTACAGGAGTACATCATCTTGCCACTATTTGACATAGATTGGCTGGGCAAACGAATGTTTTCTGGGGGGAAATAAACGTTACTGTGGACTTATTTTTATACTGATGGTGTCTTTTGTAGGTGGTAGCTAACCAGACACCCTCAACGGAGAGGACCCCACGACAAGGGGGAAAAATGTGTGAGGCACAATGGAAAGAAGCCCTCAAGAAGGGAATATGGCTTTAGTGTTTTTATAGCAATGTTCCTTTAATGGAATATAAAAATAGCACAATTCAAAAAAGTAGTCTGTGTTTTGCCCAGCCTTTTGCAAGTAATTTGGGATAAGAAGCTATCAGGAGTTTAAAAAAACCCAAACAAACCAAACCCAACAAAAACCAGAAAAACTTGTTTGAGGCCGTCGCTCAGAAAACAAGTATAAAAATGTCGTACGTGCATGATACAAAACCTATTTTCTATTCTTTTGATTAAGATTTGATTGCAAAAGAAAAAAAAAAGTTAATTTTGTTTTTTTTTTTTTTTTTAAAATCCAAACCCATCAAACAGACAAAGGCACATAACCTCTAAAACTCTATGCCCAAAGACCGTATTTATTGACCTATACTGTATACCATAGGCCTTTGTTATTTAAAAAAAAAAGTAACAACTGCATTGGTTAAATTAGGCTGGATTTGCCTTCCAGCCAGTAAAAATAGCCCTTTTAAAACTAAGTATTTAAAGTATTTAAAGTTTTTTCTAAAAAACATAGAAGTCAGCTACTTTATGCCTTGTTTGTATAACTAAATTGTTAACATGTTACACTTTCAGCCACTAAGTACGATTTTTTTTTTTTTTTTTTTAAATTCTGGAATAAATGCCAATTTGACAGCCGAGTTCACCGTAAAGCGCAGATGTGTGCATCACAGTCATCCCACACCTACCCAGGCTTCATGAATAAAGGGGGCTTTACACAGTTTTATATAGTCCAGTCAGTTTTTATGAAATACTTTGTCTTGCTTCAAAACACCTCAAAAGTGAATTCTGCTAAAGGGCTTATCGCAGTATGATTTGATTCGTCTGGATGCTTTTGTTAAGTTTTTAAACATCAGGTAAAGTCTCAAAACCGACTAAACTTTTATTAAAGGGGCAAAGCAAAGGAAAACGAATTCCTAACCAAGAAGATATTTTTTTTTTCCTGCCTTAAAGGGGCACCAGCTGTTGCTGAGAAGAGACAATCTGAGCCTGCCCAATTGTTCGCGTAGCCCAGCCTTCTCCCCAGTTCTGGTGGCAAGTTGTACATCAGGGAATCCAAAGCCACTCTGAGTAGCAGTTGCTTAGTTGTTTACCTAACGATGCTTTCAGTTTAACCTGAACTTGCTATGAAATCATTGTTATACAGCAAAACAACAAGAAGCCTCTATGCAGACACTTTAGCTTTGAATCGATACAAAAGATCACATTGAGAAAGCGACGTACTAGAGACACTTATTATGCAAACTTAAAAACAAACAAAAAAAAAATAAAGAACATCAACTTTTCAGGAACAAAAGGATTGGTATTTAATAAGATGCCCTGTTGAAAGGATTGTTAGAACTGCGATTGGTTTAACGTAAAAGGAACCAAAGCGATATGCCACAAAGAGAAATCAAAGCGTATTAAATCCTGCATGTTTGGAGTGAAATCCACGCTCTGATGAAGTCCCTGGGGCAGAGCTTCCACTTCAGGATAGCGTCAGTCACAAGTGCAATTTGACTCTTGATAGACAGAGGTAAAGGAAACAAAAATTTGGCAAGATTGGACGCTAGCAGGTTTGCGATCGAACCCTCCTCCTGTTTGTTTGTTGTTGTTTTTTTTTTTTAATTTTTTTAAGGTTCTGTTGATCTGAAAGCATAAATGGCAAATTCGTGCTCCTTCGATAGCATGCAGGCGTGTTTAAAAAGTGAATTCCTGAGCGCTGCTCGTACAGAGCCAGTGTCCACAGTCACCTGCGTCGTGTGGTTTTAAGCCATTGGGAGTAAAGCGTTAGAACATCGTAAATTCTGTCTGCCCTTGAGCATAGACCTGCTTAAATGTTATGTTTTAGACCTCGGTTATAAGCAGAACATTGTTCCTGGAGCTTTTATTGTCACATAGTTCTTACTGTAAATAACTAAGGAAGCTTAAAATTAATTTTCCTTGCAAAATTGAATTTGCAGTGGCTGGGTTGTTTCTAGACAGATTTTGGTATTAATTTAAGAGATACAGTTTTTATAGTCTTTCCAACTTCTCGTTATGACTCCTGCAGTTTTCTTAACCTAAAAAATTGCTGCAATGATGAACAAAGAATTATACAAGAAAAAAAAAAAACATACTTTTGTATCTTTATTTTGGAATTTCTTGTTCTATTATAAATATTGAAGTATCCCTATTTCAGAAGACATATTTTGTTAATTGATTGTACATATTTAAATATGTATTTTTGCACAGGTCTTTTTTTCTTATATCCAGTTTTGGTACAATTGAGATCATCTAGTATTTATTTATTAATTAATTAAAAAAAAAAAAAAGCAAATACCTTTTTATAATTTGAAGTGGTTCACTGCCAAGCCAATAGTTAACATGCCTACTTTGCAACTTAAGGGATGCCTCCGTTTCGTGAACGCTTGTGTCCCTTTTCACGTCTTGGGAGTGGATACACGCAAACTATCGCCCGGGTCCTGCGGTCGGGTTCCGCCCCGGGAACCTGAGCGCAGGATCGGAGCCGAAATGGTCGATACGGCATTGCTTATCAGTTGCCTGGTTCCCGGAAGACTACGTTTAGTTAAGTGACACACTGCTTCTCTTTTTTTTTTTTAATTTTTTTTTAATTTTTTTTTTTTTTTTCAGTGTTCGTGTGCGTGTGTGTGCGTGCGCATTTGTGTGGGTCTCATGTGGTTTAAAACTAACGGAAAAACTGAAAGTGCCTGATATAACTCGTTTTAAGCTTGGACTGTTTAGACAGCTTCTCCTTAAAAGACTTGAATGTTCAGTTGAAATTTTGGAGCTTGCTTTTTCCACCGATATATAATATATGTATGTGTGCGTGGGTGTGGGTGTGTATATGCACACGCACACATATATATAGGTATTTTCTGAAATGAATGAGATGGGTTGACAAAAGGAAGCGAACGATGCTGATAACTTTTGTAAAATCTTTTCATTAGAAAACGTTGTGTTGGAACAATCCTGTTGATAACTCGTATTTAATATAATGCCAAGGGTTTGAAATATGGTTTTAACCAGCAGTTTATTTAACTATCTCATGTGGGGAAGGGAGGGGGAGGGGGGAGCTATTAATTCATAAATGAAATAATTTAGGAAATGTTCAGAATAGTTGGTATTCCAGGAAAACAAAAAAACCCCACAAGTAAGTACCTCTTAAAACCATTAAAAAGTAAAGATGTGATTTCCACATGACATTTCTAAGGCAGTTGTCTTCCTGTAAGAGTTCTCTTGCCAAGGAATCTCTCTCGTCTTTCACTCATTCTGTCCTGGAGGAGGGAATTGGGCTTAGAAAGATTCTTAAATGTTTCACTGTTCAGCAGAAAATAATCATTTTTACCTTTTGTGCAAGATATTTTACGTTTTAAAGATAATTTTAAAATGAGCACTACATAATGTCAATGTGAATGTAGGCCTTGAAAGCATCTTGCTCGGTGTTGAGCCTGGTTCTAAAAGCAATCTCCTGTGTAAAATGTGTGAATAGTTTGATAATTTGTATACATAATCAAGAGCATCTGATCAGCTGAACTCTGTGTTGGCTGCTGTATAGTACATGAACAAATGTCATGAGATAGAAAAATTACTTTGGATATTTAAAAGAAAAATAAATATATAGTCTATTTGTTTTGTAACAAGTTTCTGTAAATAAAATAATTTATACTATTTATAAGAAAAAGTTGTGCTTTGCTTCATGAAAAAGATTAGTTTGTTGAACAAACATGTTACTAAACAAGGCAATAAAATTAGGACTTTTCAATAAATGAGGTTGGTTGCATGGAATACATTATATGTTTCTGCTTCATTATAAATTCATTCACCATTAAAGGAAACCATTATCTGTGTCGGTGCCTATGTGAGCTAATTTCAGAGAATTGGATGTGGTCAAATTGTGTCGCTGTACCTCAGCATCGCGTGAGCGGCGACAGGGTCAGCGCGGTAGGATCGGATCTGGCCGTACTGGGGGGGTTTGGTACCTCTCTTTGAGAGGTGCCCCATCAACTCCATAATATTTTTCCTGTGCAAAGGACATTTTATTATTTAAGGTTCACGCTTTATATTGTTTCCTAAGTAGAACAATGAGAAGCAGCTTTGACGACCCCCGATGCGCTAGGTTGAATGACAGTGTCTCCTTCACACCCCCGCCCCCCCTTCCAAAAAAGCATCATCTTCCATGTTTTCACAGTTTAAAGATCCAGAGTGTGATTTCAGCAGGTTAAATACTCCTGCAGGCCGTTCTCTGCGTGTGACTTGGGACGCGCCAGTGATGGATGACTTCTGAGGAGCGGTTTGTAAAACCGGTAAAGCTCCCATTAGTGGGATAGGAATTCGTAGTTACGTCCATGGCAAGGCTTCCTTTATTTTCTCTCTTTTCTTTTCCTTTTCCAACAGCGAGAACAAAGTGTTCTTTAGTATTTGCAATAAATGCTACAGGATATAATTGGGCCAGATAGCAAGCAGGTTCTGCTTTGCCTTTTTGAATGAGTACTTCTAATATTTCTACGTTCAAATTCTCTTTTGTGCTAACTCGAGATTTTTATTTATTTTTGTCTCACCTCTCTGCAAACATCTCTCTTTTTCCAGTAGCAGTTTCTAATTTCTGCTCCACCCTATAAACTGATGGCACGGGAGCTGGTTGTGCCGGGCGGTGCAAGCGGCGGCGGCGCAGAGCGTGCAGAGCAGAGCGCTCTGCTTCTCCTCGCCTTCAGGCAAGTGCGTGACTCCGGGCTGGCTGCATCTGCTTCAGAGTCAAAGGATTAACTCTGCATTTAGCAGCATTTAAAAAAGGGTTCCGTATCCTCTAAGACTGGTAAGGTGAAGAACGAGGGGAAAAAGTTGTGTTTATCCCCTATAACTCTGAGCCCTTTGAGGTATCTCGGCGCTCTGCGGGTTTGGCGCGTCGTCCCGCTCCCCTTCTGCCCAGTGGGTCATCGCTCCTCCCAGCGACTCGATCGGTTCAATAAAGGGGTTTGTCATGAAAAATGCCTTCTGGCCACAGGTACAGACTTTCCTGAAGCGGATAGAAAGCAGTTTCTCTCCTGTCACCGATTGTCTCATTGGAAAATACCCCAGTTCCTACCCAGGAAGAGTCACTTGGTGATGAAGGAGTTTGAGCCCGATAGCGCGTGCAACGCGAAGCCAAATGTCAGAGGTTTTCTGCGTGGATGCTTTTGTGTATGTGTGCGTATCCTCGATACCCTTTGCATGTAAAATGGAAGCTGGTGATGTGTCCTTCAAACCCGATGGCATCAGCCTTCTCCTGCTGGAGATGTGTTGGGCTCAAAGGCTACAGCTGCCCTGGGTAGGAAAACTCCTAAATCCTGGTCCTGCAGCACCTGGAGGCAGGGGTGCAGAGCTGGCCCCGTGCCCTTGCTGCGGACAGCGGGGCCGGCAGCGAATGCCCCCAACAACCCTTGGACGCTGTTACTGCCACCAACTACCAAAACAAGCAATACAAGGGCTTGCAATTGGCTTTATTTAAATGCAAATTCCTGTTGGTTCATTACTATCACGTTCTGCTGCAACAAATAATCAAAACACACGTGGCTTGTAGGATCCACCATGGGACTCTTAATTTGACTGAATGCTTTTCTCAGTGCTTTGGCTCAGGACTGCGTTAGCTGCTGGATTTGTTCCTAACAAGCAGCATGGGATCTTTGTCGCGGAAAAGCAGCATATGCTTGTTTTGGTTTTGTTTTTCTGGCCCACCAAACTTCAGGGGAATCTCAAAAACCTTCTCTGAAGTTATTCAACCTTCATCACTAAGGATGAAAACTGGCCTGAGAGAATGCAGTCAGTCAAAAAGCCTTGTCCAAACCCATGGGGAGTGACTGCAGTTGACATCTGTGGCCAAATCGGTACAAAAGCTTTCTTTGGCGTCAGCAGGGACGGTGCGTTGCTGCTGGGTTTAGCCACTCTCCAACACAGTGCTGGAAATGTTCTTTGTCCTCCATTTTTGCAGTTGAGCTCCCTTCACCCTGTGTCCCTTCCAGTCCACAACAGGTGACTTTCTTCACGAGCCTGTCTGCAAGGCTAGACCTTAAGCTGTGGAGCCCAGCATCCAGTGAGAGAAGAAACGGAGCTGTTGGCAGGCCAGCAGACGGGCGAGCCAAGGAACGCCTGCACGCAAACCAGATCTCAACCATTCTGTAGCAGAGCTTTACTGACAACCCCTGCAACGCTCCAGCTCCCGTCCTTCCCTCCTGCATTCCCACAGCTCAACGGCAGCGCACGCGTTGCCGGGAAAGGTGGAAAGCGTCCCCATGGCGCGGCTGAGCCTTGGAACCTGCGTCTGATTCTGCCTCCCCCGTTGCTGGTGCGAAGGCAGCCGTCCACAGCCAAACTGGAGAATGGCGTTAGCTCAAGGAACTGCTCCAGCTTAAGTTACGAGAGAGAGAATGTACAACTTCGGCATGCGGACTGTAAATCCAGGGAAAGGTGTCATGACTGAGGTATGACCGGGTGTGTCTGCAGCGCCGCTCACGCTCGGGTAAACAAATGGGAATCGTGAGATGAAATAAAGGTACAATGAACGTGGGCACAGGACAGCGAAAGGTAAATGAAGTTACTTCAGGGTTTAAAGGAAGCAGAAATCCCGCTGCTTCGGATGTGACATGGAAATCGGAGTCGTCAGTTAAAAATGGTAGAATAGAAAAAATTGTGCCCTTGATGAGCTCAAGGCTTGCCCACCCTGCGCCCCTCAGCATTCCTACTCTTTGGCAGAGGCTATGTGCCAGGCTGCTTTTTTCTTCTTTCAGGAGAGCAATGAAAGCTGCTCTGGCTGTGTGTTGTGCATCCAGCTGTGGACTTCAGGAGGCAGTTTTTGTCCCACCACTATTTGGCACGGCTGCGAGGCTGAACTGCTGCTGGAAGCCTTAAATTGTTCAGGTAAAATTGCCGTGACTTTCTTGCCAGGCCTTGGCCCAAAGCGCTTGGTCAAGAAGCTCCTGGATCCTCCTTTGCAGGACATAGGCCGAGATCAGGAAATGAGCGAGTGGGGATCTTTAAAAATTGTCTCTACTGCAATTAGCATTTTTCTAGAAAATGCTCACATCTTGATAAAGGCTTGTGCTAGAATTAGTTTATTGGCAGCACACTGGAAATGAATTCTCACTCTGCTCTGGTAGGGTATGTCCGTTTCCATTTTGAATGTTCTGGTTTTTCACCTCCCTGAGCAGGGAACGCTTGGTTCCCACAGGGTGATAGTGATGGTTAGAATACAATAATAAGTGAAAGCTCAGCAAAGATCTTACCGCACACTAAGAATCTTCAGTAATACTTTTATTTTCCTCACAAAGTAGACATTTCTTTTTTTTTTTTTTCTGTTGCTCTTGCCTATACTGCAAGAGCAGCAACATTTCTCTTGTGTTAATGAAGCCCAGTTTAAGTTCCTGTTCCCTTCAACTTACAGTTAGAAATGTATATGGCAATACATAAGCTGAATGAACTCCTGAGATTTATTTTGCAAAGCTTTGATATAGTTAATTAAGGCCAGTTCAAGTACAAGTATGCTGGAAAGGAAAATTCGTCTCTGTACCAGACACGAAATGCCTCCACTCAGGCCCCCAGCCTCTGCCGTGCGGCCGTCTGTGATAGGCTTGGCATTCGCCTCCTGGATGGGAGGTAGAAAAGGGGTTACCCAGAGGCAGCCACAACTACAGTCTTGCTAGCCTAGCTACACTTCACCCGCTACGGAACTGCTCTAGAATAAACCCAGAGGCATTACTGCAGCTCTGGAGTCTGAATATTGGCCTGAATCAATTAAAACTTTGTAAGAAGTGATATGCGTGTGAACACGCAGAATGAAGAATCAATAGCTGACCCCACGGTAAACAAACCAGGGTTCTCTTTTACGACTCTCACTACTGTAAAGAAAGGGAAGATCAGAATTGGTGCTGGCTGAAATGTAAATCTTTACACTCTAGCTGAATAGCTGCTACTTGGAAAAAAAAAAAAAAGAACAAACAGCTTCTAGTAAGTAGCAAAAGAAAACCAAAAATCATTAGGTCGCATTTTGGGTTTTGGAACAATTCAACAAAGACTTTAACGGGCTGAGGAGCCTACCCTCGGGTGGGTGGCAGCGATTCAAAGACGGGAGATCCTCCACCACCTCCCAGTAAAAAGAGCGGTCATGTGAAATTCCAGGCTGTCCTAGCTGTTCCACAGCAGCTTCCAAACATCAGGATCATTCCGTGGGGTATCTACCTGCGGGTGTTACTTCAAGGATTAAAGTCACGGTGAAGACAGGCAGTAAATGGATTCTGTTGCTAAGTGCAGTGGCATCAAACAGCAAAGGGAACTAAGTCACAGACTGTCTTTGGGAGGAAAAAAGAAACCTCAAGCCCAGCAAGCAGGGTAAAGAGCTGCTGCCGTAGGCTCTGCCATGGCCAGAAACGATCACTACGGCCGCAGCCTACTCCACACGTTTATTCCTCAGCAGCTGTGAAGAGAGAAATTGTAACCCCCGACAGTATTTGGTCAGTTGTGTCAAGCTGCAATAGCATCTTCCACTGTTCCTACCATCGTTTTGACGTCTCCAAATCTAACAGAGGAAGTGATTACAAACACAATGCTTTGCTAATGTGCTGACTTTCTTTCCAACAGCTAGCAAAAACGGGATTTTAAGGGAGAGGCTACTTCAGTTCCCAAAGCTATCGTCCTTACAGTTTTCATGGCTATATTATTGCTTCACCTCAGTCATTCGTATCCTTATTCCTTCTCCCCTCAGCTGTCATCCTCTCGTAACAAGAGTTCATTCTGCCTGGACTGCGCACAAACTAAAATTGTTGGCTACTGTACTATTACGCAACTGATTCTTTTCACCTTTGATTCCAATACAGAAGTCTTAAAAAAGCAAGCACAGGATTGCCATTAGTTCTCTCCAGTCACAGATCTTGACACTGCTTTGCTACTAAACATTGAGCACTGTATACACAGTCAAGGAAAGGAACAAAGTAGATTACAAGAGATCACCAACTGCATCATACATTTAATAAATGAACTGGGATCCATACACCAAAACAGAACATTGTTTACATAATGAAGTGGAAAGTAAAAACACTACCTCTCTCGCTAGTAATTTTTTTTACCTAGAGTATACCAAGTTATACAATATATTTATAGGTTACTTCCAAAATGTTTTAAACATCTAAATTTTGCATTCCCTTGCATTAAAAAATTACATATTAATTACTCTGGAAAGTTTCTGAACTCTGTTTAGCAGCAAATCTCCTTTCTTGATGGTTTCTTGGTACTGCCAGTTCTTGCTATCAGGCCTAGGAATGATGGGGGGGGGTAGAAAAAAAAGGTTTAGAAGTCAGAATATGTTTTACACCAAGCCACTTACACTTATGTAAGAAGCATCATCAAAATGTATAGAATTCAACAGGGCTGTCAAAAACGATTTCTAGGAATTGTTAGCATACCTGTTAGTTTCTACAATCTCATTTACTTTGTCTATTTTGCAGTGTAATCGCCCAGCTGCGATAAATCGTGAAAGCTCCCTAAGTAAAGGAAAAAAAAAAAAAAAAGTTGGTTAAATCATGTCTCCCAAGGACTTGTACACTTCTCAGTACCGAACCCGCTCCTGCAAAACACCATTGTCACCAGGCTGTATTTCCAAAGCAACAGCCTATATATTTTCATAAGGTATCTTATGCATCCTCGTCTTATTAAAGCTTGGCCATTATGCACAAGAATAATCATTCCGGCGATCTGAATACAAAATGTCTTGGTATTTTCTTCTCAGGTGCCATACTTGAGTTAGTGAAATTTATCACTTGCCTTAGCGTCAATCACTCTTCACATTCAAAGGTAGCAGTCATGTAGTGTGCCTATTTGGAATTTATCCTGATGTAAGTCTCTTCATGCCAGTCAATTCATTAGAAAAGTCTCTTTAACAGTTCCCTACTCTCCAGTAGCTCTAAATAATCTGATTTTTTTATATTATTATTTTGCTTAATCAGCTGGTGGTCTACAGCACATTACTGACAGCAGAAGAAAATATTCCTGTGATCAACAGTAAGACAAGTTATAACTAGTAACCGAGTCACCGGAAAGCATAAGAACTAGTATGACTTCAAAACATTTACCTTTGAATTGAATGGTATTTGGTTTCTCTTGAAACACCTATTAATTCAGTTCTGAATGTTTCAAGCAGTATTCGTATTTCTGTAACTCTTTTCTATGTTAGAAGATCTGAAACTTCTCTATGAAAGAACAACTCTTGTGAAGGCATTTGAAACAAAGTGTTGCATGTGCAGAGTAAAAGTAAATTTCTCACTTCACATTAGTTGTCATCATGATCTAAATCTGTTGGTTTTACACTAGAAAAAAATTGCAAATTGAGACCGCAGTGTATGTTTGATTTAAGTGAAAACCATCAGATCCTGTCCACCAGATCCAGTACCAGAAAGTAAGCAGAATTAAATAAGGAGACTTGGAGGGTACATAAAATGTGCGGATCCCCAGAGTTGCAACAGTTAAGTTTTCACACAGTTGTGAACTAAGTCATCTGCTAAAATCTTAAGTTTTGTAGCATATGAAGGCCAATGGATACAGCAGCATAAAGAACAAAGTTGTTGATAAAAGAGTAGTTTCTTATATGGCGTTTGGAGTGAAAATACTGGAAAAGTTGTCATGAGAGATTGCAATCAAATTATTTTCTTTACTGAAACACGAGGTTCACTTAAATTTAGCCAGACTACAGAAACATAACTTGGCATGTTTAGAATCAAAGTAGAACAAAGACTTTTATTCATAATGGGATCATTATAAATAATTAAAAGGTGTAGAGTGATCTTTATGAACTTAAAAAGCTGAATAACTTACTGATCTATGAATTCTACACTGACTCCAAATGCTTCTGCCATGTATCCTAATGTCAATGACCGGTAAGACTCTAGGAGCTGGCTGTACGCATGGATTCTCATTTCCCGTACATAGTATCGATAGTGAGGTGCAAACAGCCAATCTTTTTTCATCTCTTGTTCTACAATAGCTGAAAAGAAAAAACAAAAAAAAAAAACCACCAAAAAAGAAAAAAGAAATGAGTCAGTAATCTCTAAATGTAAAATATCAATTATGCAAATAAAACACATAACACCAGTTAATAAGTAATCGGTGTGAACGTAACTATATTGCATTCTTGCATATTTCAGGATATGAAAGGTATTCTACGCTACAACGAAGTCAGTCTGGATAACCTGTATCGGTTCTAGAACCAGAAGCAGTAATAACATGCAAACAAGACTACAGCAAAGCTAACGACCCCATTTGTCAGCAGAGAATACGTCCTTTGGGGTGTGAGCTGGTCTCCCCTCTCCTGCAGGGGGACCACCCTGCTACAGGTAAGTGCTGGGATCGGCTGTCACACCGGGGCAATGTGGTGCTGGGAAACATGCAGTACTTGGCACGTAACTACTCGATGAAACATTGTTACCCAAAGCTGGGTAAGGAAATAAGATTAACTTTCTGGTACTAGCTCTTAAATTAGTTACAAGGATTTCCAGGCACTGAAGTGACTTTTTCTCCTGATGGTTCTGGTTCCCAGCGAGTGACAAAGCCAATAGAAAAATATTGCCCTTAGCTCATAATCTCATCAGGCCTCATCTTCCACAAAGTGAAGGGTTCTTTTCTGCTTTTTCTAAGTATCTTATTTTCTTGTAGTCTTTTTGTAGTCACAGAACGAAAACGAGCAGTCTGAGAACCAGCAAGAGTGAGAGTTTTCTGAAAAGCTTTTCTTCAGTGCCACCCTTTTACATAGAAACCAGAGCAGAAAGCCAATGGTAACAACAATGAAAACTTCCCATGTAGTATCTCTTACAGGTTGAGATTTCAGGGCCTTTAGACTACAAGTCCTATGAGTTCTTTAAAAGATAAAACCTTTCTCATCTGACCTGGCTCTTCAGGTAAGACAGTGCTCCATAGCCACTTAAATGCTTTTCCACTTAATCAGAAGGGAACTTTCAAAAAGCTCACTGTACGCCAAGCTTGCTTTGTTAATTTTAAAAAACAGCAAATTTTAGGTCACTGTTTAAAAAGAGAAAAGGTTTTTTTTGTCTGCATAAAGTAGCTCTAGTTCTAGACTGTAGCTACTTCACAGAAGTTGTGCATGATCCGAAATAAATAATTGAAGCACCTGAAATAGTGTTGTAGGAAGAAACGACAGCCTTACCTAATGACTGGAAAAAGGCTGCGTAACGGCATTCATAAAGAGAAAAGAGGTACTGTCGTACAGCTGGCAAACTGTGTAACACTTCCAGAATCTCTGCTCCTTTAATAACCTGAAAGCAAGCAAAGAACACATTTAAATACCATCGCTTTCAGCCTGGAGATGAACAGGTTAAAGAAACGCTGTGTGTGTCTGAACCAGTGTTTTCATCTGCTTTCCTTACCTTTTCCCTAAGGTCAGGCCTGTCTAATGCAATCATGCTGACATAGACAGTGTAGGTTACAAATGTTTTGTAATCCATGAGTTCATAGGATGTAAACGTCGAAACTGTATCAAGGAAGAGCTCTGCTGCTTGTTTGAAATCTCGAATAGCTACACAGTAAAGGCCCTGGTACACTTTGAGACGATTTCTCCTGTCCCAGTCTCCTCCTTCTTCTATTAGACTTGAAACAGAACAAAAAGAAATAATCACTTAAGTAAATGTATTATGGAATAAGTTATATGAAACAAGTACAGAAAATCAACTGATACCACGTGATTAGAGAAAGAATAATTTGTGCTATGTTACAGCTTGTTGAAGCAGTCCAGGCTTTGTATGCCTGTAAGGGGTAGGAAAGCAGCTTCCTCGGGACAGGCAAGGCCGAACGCTTTTGCACAGTGCAATTTTCAATTGAAAGGAAAAGGTTAGAGCCTCTAAGGTTGTGACAACAGTCTCTGAGATGTGCAGGCAAATACTACTGCGACCCTTGGCTGTGGCAACATATTTCCACTGGCTATGCTGCTAAAACCAAAGGCATCCAACTAGCAGCCCAGAAAAAAAATTTAAAAGTTGCCACTTATCAAGTACCGTATTAACACAAAATTGATGTGGCGATAAGCCGGACCACAGGCTGAGACAAAAATCTGCTGAGAAAGCAACAGAAAAAAATCATTGCCCAGGGAAGACAGCAAGTGGGATGACCCTCTGCCTTGGTGTCTCATAGCACCAGCAGAGACTGGAAACCGTAGCTTGCTACAGCAACGCTGAAGTTCAAAATGCCGGGAGCACGGAGACACTAAAGCTGGTGGTGGAAACCAGGGATGGGCAGCTGCACCAAAGCACACCATGCTGACACACTGGGCTCTTGCTGCTGGAGGAGAAGCTGGGGCTTCCCAGAGTCAGCTGGGTGGCACTGGCAGTAGCTGGATGCAGCTGGAAATCGTACAGTCTCATCACACCCAAAGTTATTTGTCTTCCAACAGCTACAGAACAGAAAAGTGGGAGTGGGGGGTGGGCTACAAATTAAAATCGCGTCAGCTGTTAGCAAATAGCTGACAAAAAATATTACCCTTTCTTTCCTTTTCCCCCTCATAAAAAAAAAAAATCCAGGAACAGGAAGCTCCCTAGTACAAGGTAACACCCACCCAGCACTGTGATTCTATCTCACAGCCAGCCTTAGTCATTTCTTGACAGTATTTATCTTCCATTTCTTTTGTTACAGGGCTTTAGTGCACTCAAACAACCCAAGCCAGTACCTTTTTGCCTTTTCAATGTTCCGTGTGATGAGGTCGTTATCCATGTAAAACAAGCCGATCCTTAGAAGATAGAACACGATATCCAGACGATGTCCCAGTGCCACGGTTTTGTCGTAAGTCTTGCGGAACGCAGTCAGAGCTCCCTCCTAGGGAGACAGTATTTCCTACTATAAGAATGTTAAAAGCACCTAGAATATTTACAAAATGTCTGCCGTAAGCACACCTGTTGTCTTCCCCTGATACTCGTGACTCTCTTAGTTTCCCACAGAACTTTAACATGACGCGTTCTGAATAATCTTACAGAATCAAAGTTTAAATCAAGTTGAAAGAGACGATCCTCATGTATCTTTTAAATCTAAGGACTATGAAAATCTAACTTGTAACTTGAAATTAAGTTGCACTACGTAAGTAGCTTAGAAAAGTGTAAAGATACAAGAAAAGTGAAAAATAACATCTGCAAAGGGTAAATAACTTTTTGCCGTTTCAAGAAAAAATGTTCTCTTTTAAGGTGTGCTTGGGTTTTTTTCTAGATAACTTACATTTCAGTATCACCCTCCCCTGTCTCCCATCCACGTCTGAGTTGTGCCATAGGAAAACGTGCTGTAAGTCACGCAGCTTCCTCCCTATGAACCGCGCTCACTGGAACCTGCCTAGCTCAGAGGATTGCAATGCAGTGTTTTTAACGAGTCCATAAAGCCTCTGCCACGAACCAACCTTGTCCCCGATCCTGCACAGGTACTCAGCTTTGGCCATCATTGCATCTCGGATTTCGCTCTCCCCCAAGATCTTTTCCGCATCTTCTAATTCATTGTCAAGGCGTTTCAATTCTTCCTCATTAGCTTTCTTCATCTTGTTCAACAGATCCACGTCTATCTGCCACTCAAGGGACTTGCAGAGCGCTTCATAATACGGAGCCATATCTGAAAGAAGAGCAGGAAGGCTTCTGCTATTAACTGCCACGAGATGTGGGCGCGTGTTGCTAGAGCAGAGCACTGAAGGACAACACAACTGATTGTCAGCACCAGCTACGTCCTTTCTACAGGCAGGTACTTATTAAATCCAGATGTTACACAGCCAGTGTTTCAGCAGGCCTCGCCTGCCACGCTCCCTTTCGCCGATTCTTTACTCCCTTTACACCTCTCCCACTTGCACTTCCCTGTTTATCTGGCCCTGAGCGCAGTGCGGCCCTGTGCTCACCTCCTGCCTTTGCAAAAACCACGCTGAGGTGTCCAAACCCCTGCTCCCCCTCCCCACTGCTCTCGGACTGATGACCAGGGGCCGACTGATGCCCTCCTGCTGGGGAAGGTGTACACAGACGCAGACAGACACAAAGACGCAGACAGACATACAGACGCAGACAGACACAGAGACACACAGACAGACACACAGACGCACACAGAGACAGACACACAGACCGCCCCCTGGGATAAATGAACCCGGTCAGGCCGGCTCCCTGCCCACACACGCACGCCCCCGGACAGCCAGCCAGCCGGACAGAC